GGTCATGTGTGTTTCAACTGCACGTTCCCTTTCTCTCCTTGTAGCTACCTCATCCCTGAACTCCCAGCTCCAGCAGCTCCAGCAGCTCCAGCAGCAACCGCCCCCGCCCCCGCCGCCGCCGCCGCCCGGGCCCCCGGGCCCGCCCCCCGAGGCCGCCGGCTACTCCCACCGGCTGTTACTGCTACTGCTGCAGTGAGCGCCGCCCCGCGCCCCGCCATTGTCCCCGCCGCTCCGCCAGTCGCGCCGGGCCGCGGACCGGGAGGCGGGGAACGCGCATGGCTGGGCGTCGCTGATGCCGCCGCCGCCGCCGCGCCGCCCTCCGAGGCTGCGTCCCGGGAAGCCCGGACCTCCGCGCTCCCCGGCCCGGCCCGGCGCCCCGGACTGGAGCGCGCGCCCATGGAGGCGCCCGGGCTGGCCAAGGCGGCCAAGGCGGCCGCGACGGACCCCGAGCCTCGGGAGAGCCGTGGGGAGACCCCCGACGGGGCGCCCGCGCTCTGCCCCAGCCCCGAGGCGCCCTCGCCCGAGCCGCCAGCCTACCGCTTGCAGGACTTCGACACGCTGGCCACCGTGGGTGAGTACGGAGCGCGGGGACCCGGCCCGCAGGGTTCCTCGGCGCCGCCCGGGGCGCTGGCGTCAGACAAAGGGCCGGTGTGCCGTCGCCCGGCCGCCTCCCTGAGCCGGCCCTGCCCGGTCCCGGCTGCTCAGGGCGTCCGCGCGGGCCAGCCGTGCGCCCCTGGACGCTCGGGCGCTCCCAGAGTTGGAAGGGTGTTCCCCCCACCCAAGCTCCCGAGAGCCTCCCCAAGTGCCCGCGCTCTGTCCCGCGCCCCAGGAGGCTCCTTATTTAAAACTCTCCCCCTCCTCCCTCAATCCCGCTGGTGTCTGTGCCACCGACGTCACAAAACTTCCTGGGGGTCACCTCATACGGGGGACCTGGCCCGCCCTCCCAGCCAGGGGCCCCTAGGGACAGAAGCGGCGGCCCAGAGGCACCTGCGGAACTCTGCTTGGCCAGCCTCCCTCTGCCCAGAGGCACGATGCTCCCGCGTAGACTTTAGACCTCGCCAGGGGCTTGGCGGGGACAGGTGTCTTGGGGCGCAACGGGGGCGGGAGTGGGTGGGGGGGAGCAGCCGGCGCTGCAGATGAATTACCCTTCCCCGACACGGCGCGAGCTTTTCATCTCGTGCATCTAAGTTGGCACTGTTGATCGGACACGGATTCGCTTTTGTCCTCTCCCCTTTGAGTGTGGTCGCAGTTGGGCGTCTAGAAATAGTTTCCAGTCTCCCCCCCAACCCCATCGCGCCTGAATTCCGAAAGGCGCTGGGATATTAGGGGGCCGCCCTGACTGGGCTAGAAAATCCCCACCCCAGGTCGGAGCTGGGTTCGAGTGCTGCGCGAAACCCGCTCTAGCTTCTTAGCAACTCTTTGTTGCTCCCGGGGCTTTTCGGACACGGGTTGCTTTTCGGAGAGATAAATGGGGCCGGGGACAAGCCACAATGTCATGGAGGGGTTGCGGTGTTGACGGACTTTTCCTGGGTCCCCTGCCCCTCTTCTGGAAAGGAGGAAGCTGGGCAGGGAATCAGGAAGCCGGGGCTCAGGGTCACGGCCTAGGGTTGAATCAGACGGAGAGGCACGGCCAGATTGGCATTGTAACCAACCGTCAGCAGAGAGGGACACTTCTCTTTTCGGTTCCTGGTCTCCCTGTGCTTGGGAGGGAGGGGTCTTCAGGGAACCTGATGCGGGAAGGAAGGCATAGCAGGGCACCTTCTCTACCTCTGTGCTTCTCTCTCTCTCCCTGTCAACCACCTCCTTTCCCATCTGTTTGTCTATGTGTCCCTCTCTCCTTCCCTCCCCCTGGGAAGCTGGGGCTGATGGAAAAGCAGGCAGTGTTTCGCGGGGCTGCAAGGTGGGACAGAAACCCAGCCCGTGCGGCGACACTGGGAGTAGATGGAGCCGCGAGTGAACAATGGAAAGTTGGTAGAAGACCCGCCATGCCTTGGCGCACAGAACCTCCAATTGTATTTCTTTTGGGCACACACATGAGTCTATTGTCAAAGGTGCCAGGGCTGCAGGCCAGGGTGGTCAGCGGGGTGTGGGCAGGCTGGTGGGCCGTCGCCATGACCTGATCTGGTGCCTGCAGTCACGTAGGGCCCTGTGGGCGCTGCCAAGTGGGCACGGGGTGGCCAGCCACTCATTTTGTCCTTAAAAATAGAATGCCACCGCCTCTGGGGACTGAGAGGGGCGTGCAGGGGAGGGCGACTTCTTCCACTGGCCTTTGCCTCTTGATGAAGAGGATGTTTGTTCTCCAAGGATAACTTCCTGTGGGCTGTAACTGGAGAGCCAGACTGTGGATGTTCACCTTGTTGAAACAGCAGGGTGTAGAGGTGTGTGTGTGTGTGTGTGTGTGTGTGAGAGGGAGACACACACACACACACACACCCAGGTGTGTATGCAAGAGACAGAGACTAAGCCTTAAGGAATCCCCAGCCTTCCCGAGCCGTCCCAACCCTGTGTCTGAGCCACAGTGCCCACCAGCTGGAGGTCACTTCCTAAGGCGCAGTGGGTCCCAGAGAGGGGCCAGGCTGACCTCTGCCCCTGCAGTTAGAACCTGGCGTCCTTGCTGTCCCCCGTGCCGGCCAGGCACCCATGGGTCCCGCGTGGTCCAGGGGCGCCTGTATGCCCTTTTCCAGTTGAGCAGTGCAGCTCTCCTTGACAGGAACCCAACCCTCATGCAGAGCAAACCCACAACAGGCAAACACCCTGAACCTCTCTTGGCTTTTCTTTAGCAGCACCTGCGCCTTGGAACCTTCTATCCAGGAGGAGTGAGTTTGGAAGGACGCCGCTGGGCTCCGTCCTTGCCGCACACAGTCCTACCCGTGTGTTTTGCTGTTTCCCTCACCCACTGGTGCGCTTTTGTGGTTTTCATTCCGCACTTCGGCCTGTGAGCTGGGCACGGAGGGGAGGCTCCCGAGGGGCAGACATGCTGAGTCACAATCGCAGACACACGGTTTGTGGTGATGGGGGTATTTCAGCGCAGGTAGGACGGAGCCGGTGAAGACGCCTGGGCTTCTGCCGGATTTAGCCATGCCCGCAGTGGCTCTTAGACAGCCCACCTGTTGGGGAGGGACCCTCCGCTCAAGACCCAGCTGCAAAGGGACGGCCGAGTCCCCGGGGCGGCCCCTGGAGATACAAGGAGGAGGAAAGTTGCACACTGGGCGTCTCTGAGCATTCTAGATCAACCGATTGCCCAGAAATCCGGATAGTTAGGAAGAAATCTCAGCTTAGCGTTGCTGCAAAATCTTCCAGAGCCGGGAAGCCACGTTGGGGGGTGTCTGGGCTGAACTGTGATTTCCTAGCTTGAGAAACACGGGCTCGGAACAACTGGACGGGAAATGGTGTACAAGCCCGTTCTCCGCACTTCTGGTCCACACGACCACGCTTGGTTTATTCCCGTGATGACGGACAACGTGCTGCTAAAACAAAATAATAGGTTTTGAGATAATTATATAGACTCCCGGGGCATTCCAGAATCTGTGCCCAGCGTCCCGTGCACCCTTCACGGAGCTTCCCTCCGTGACGACATCCTTGGTGACAGTGTTAGAACCAAGGCGGTGTCGGTACCATCCTGCTGAGAGGCCACAGACTGTGTTTGGTGCCCCTTGGTTTTCGCAGGCTCTGCTCTGAGTGTGTGTGGGGGGCTATAGCTGCCGTTCTGTGCCGTTTTATCTTGTGCCTTTATTTGGCAGCCAACACCCCCAAATCGAGGGCACAACTAATTCCCTCAACACAGACTAGTGGCTTCTGCTTCTCACCTCTTATTTACTATCGCATAGAATGCGTTGGGCAAGTTGCATTTCCCTTAAGACCCACGACACCTCCTTCACGAATGACTAATCATAGATGGTTCTCTCTCAAGTACTCGTAATCGGTTTCCTCCACAGTGATAGGGTTTTCTCCTGTGCTGTCCCCCTCCAAATTGGCCGTGGGTTCGCTCCCTCTGACCTGGGCTCTTATTTGCCCCCAAATATCACACCAGCACACCTCCAGAAGGAGTGGACTTGGGAACCAGTGTGGTTTTGCCGGGCACGTAAATGAGCGGTCGGTCACACGGGCGGTGTTGACATAAGCCATTTTATAAGGAAGTGCTTGTTGCTTAACAGTACACAGAAAATTGAGATTACCCTTTGATCCTGTCCGTCCGTCAGGGGTGCGGCAGGGTAACTTGAGAACGCACGCAAGCGGTGGTTTCCATTTGACAGTATTACGGGAACTTCAAAAATGAGATGACATATTAGAAAAGAGAGTCTTCCCAAGGACAGAAGTCCTACACGTTGTTCCCCTCCATTTTTAAAAAATTGACATAAAATTCATCCAACATAAAACAGACCCTTTTTCAGTGAGCCATCCGTGTGAGTTTCGCCCCATGACCTGTCACTCCTCGACCCATTCCCCCCAGTGTCCGGTGACCAGGAATCTGCTGTCTCCAAGGACTTACCGGTCTGTGCGCTTCATTCTACGAGTGCTTTTTCTTTCTCCCTTGCCATCTCCAAGGGCGTGAGGGTCCAGTGGGAAGAGAAAAGAGAACATGGGGAGATGCAGAGCTCAAATTTCCCTGATCAAGAGGTAAGAGAAAAACTCACCCAAAAGATCAGATGGACAAACCGGGAATAAAAAAATGTGCAGCGGGAATGATGAGCAAACACATGCACATAACCTCTACTGTCCTGGGGTGAGTAGAGTCCCCCCCCACCCTGAATTCACGTCCTCCCTCTCAGAACTCAAATGGGACCTTACTTAGAAGTAGGCTCCTTGCAGTTGCAATTAGTTAAGGATTGAGATGAAGTCCATTGTACTAGGGTGGCCCTAAATCCAATGACAGGTGTCGTTGTAAGAGACAGAAGAGGAGACCTAGATACAGAAGAGAAGTCACGTGAGGACAGACACAGAGTCGCGGACGGGGTCACAAGCCCAGGGACGCCTGGAGCCCCACAAGCTGGAAGAGGCAGGAAGGACCCTCCCTTGGAGCCGCTAGAGGGAGCATAGCCCTGCCCCGCCTGGATGTCAGCCTCCCTGCCCTGCCTGGATCTCAGCGGTCCTGCCCCGTCTGGATCTCAGTGGTCCTGCCCTGCCTGGATCTCAGACTTCTGGTCTCCAGAGCTGGGAGGAGGGCATGAATTCTTGTTTTAAGCCACCATGTGGTGGCAGCCCTAAGACACCTAATTAGAAAACTAATACACCTGCCAGAAAGGATTGCAGAGCTGACATCTAGGCTGCTTTAGACCACAGTGCCTTATGTCCACGAATTGGTTTCCCCAAATCCTTGGAGGTGCACAACATCCAACTACAAGTTGGACGATGCTTTCCATGGGCGGCCTAATCCTAGAGATAGCGTGCGGATGTGGTTAATACAGGAGATCCCTGTGTTTATTTTCGAAGACGGGGCATCCGGAACTCACTGCTTGAGGATGGTCATCCCTGGAGCTAGATGGAATAGAGCCAGGAACTTGCTCTTCTTCTGCCTCTACTTCTGCTCCATTGCAGCCATCCCCTCCCCCCAGACAGCAGCCAGGTGAGGCT